AATGTTCAGGTTAAGTAAGTTAATTAGCAGCATTTAAATCACTGATGATATTAACGATTTGATATGCAAACTCGATTTCGGAGCCATCCTTACCACAAATATGCACGCACAAGGTAAATAACAAAACATAAACCCGTCGGATGTGTTTTCAATTGCTAGATCGCGACTGTTTCATAACAAAAATTTACGACAAACCTCCTTCTTTTATTTACTAGAATTATATCGACCGTAATAAAACTGTTTTTTTTTTACTCCCTACATGGGCATAAGTGCATTAATATTTTGAAATACCTTGCAAATACACACAGATAATGCTACTAGAACTAAACACAACAAATGCTTTAATCCGTATCGTTTTAAGAAACAATTCATTTTAAAAATCGTTTTTAGTGAAATGCACGAACGAGTGACAGAAATGCAGACACATTAGCACTACTTAAAACGTTCGTTTACCGACGAACACCATAAACGGTGAGAACATATCTGTCTTTCTAAATACTACCGTATTTGTTTGAGTGTGCCATTATGTATTTATAGACAAGAAATTAATCTCCCTGATCTGTCGTCATTACTGGCAGTGAGGTCACATAAAAAGCAATATTAAGAAAACAACATTAAAGTGACCTGAACTCAAAATGTATTTCTTACTTAAGCTTCGAGAATCAGTTTTAACTAAACTTCTCAACGCCTGAAAAAGTATCTCTTTTTTCTTTTAATGATTTATTTTTTGCTTGTTTATTTTCTTTTTTAGACTATCTTTAATTTTCTTTCCAAGAAACGTATTTGGAAGTTAGGATTTGCCTAAGCGAATCCCATAAAATTTTATTCCCTAAAATTCACGTTTTCCAAAGGAATTAATTGTCACAGAACAAGTTTTCTGCCAACGAGATGCATGTAACTTCGATGTATATTATAATTTTTTGGAGCTCATGAGTATTAAGCGTATGACTGCATACATTATTACGTTGAAACTTTGATATGTTTGTTATCTTCCAGCGACCCGCGTCTCGAAAGTCCGCCAGATAACTTCGACCTTCTGCCTCTTTCACCAGATTATACTGAATCTTCTATTTATCTCAAGTGGGCTTCTTTGTTCTTGCTCAACTTGTTACTCGATCAGCTGTGTGGCATCGAAATCAGTAATTCTGCCGCCTCATTGAAAATACCACCAACTGAATAACTCAATGACCTTTCGCGAATGTACGCTATTGTATTGTGCATTTTTATTAGAAGCTATTCAGATGTTGCAATCTTCTGAGTAAAAACTATGCCTCGCAGTATGACAGCCAAAGAACATAATGCTCCTAAGGTCAGCTTATTTTATACTGTGACCGTAAACCACAAACGTGAAGATAGAGTACCCGTGTGATATCACCGTCTAGTTTATTCCTCTGTGCCCTCGGTACCGCCACTCGAGTAGTCTGCGATTCTCAAGGATCGCCAGAGTTGCATCGAGAAACGCCGTCACTTTCGTTAAGGACTGTCTCGTTTGCCGCTCTTGGGGTTCATTGTATGCAGCATGGAGAGCCTCATCTCACCCAAAGCACTTTGGAAAGCCAGTCACTGCAGTTGGAGGGAGCTCGGCGAATGATGGTGCTCATAATATGTGCAGACTTCAAAGAACAGTCTGCACTGTGACATTCAGCATGGTGAAAAACCATTTTCAAAAGCAAGCTGGTTTTTTTTAGGTTTAAGCAAATAATGAGCTTTGCCATTCGCCGAGCTCCCTTCAGTTGCAGTGACTAACTCGATCAAGTGCTTTGCGGGAGAGCAGGCGCTCCACCTTTCTATGGCTTTCCGCAATACTGAAAATTACTTTTCCGCTAGGTCAATTATTAGAGGAAAATGTAGAGTTTACATAAGGGTACCGCGTGCAATGACCGACTCTTCAAAGGGTCAGCACTTACTCAGTGCCCAGGCTCATGCCGCAATTCAATAAACACGAGCCACTTTCATAGGTTATCTTGAATTGCTCTCGAGGGAGTGGTTTTAGCGAGATTAAAGTGTCCACAAAATAAACTTTTGGTTGGGATAAATTATTCTAGACGGGGGTTCTTGCTAATTGCATATCATTTTAAAAGCCAAATGAAAGATGGTAGAAAGTCAAGAGTATTCATTCCGGTACGAAGTTTAAAAAAATATAGCGCACCTTCCTGTCCTCGAAAACTCTCCGCCTTTTCACCGTGATGCACCCGCGGTGGCCAAGCACATCAGCCGATATAAAAGTAAAATGGCGCAAAGGTTACACAAAGGACAAGGGACTATATGCGCTATTTAATGTTTATATCATGCATACCAGACTAGCCCACCTCAATATCTTAGCACGTCATCCGAAACCAGATCACGCATTAAGCACGAGCACCAGGTAACGCGGACGTGTGCGCTCATCAGCAATCAATCCGTCGACGAATATTTGGATTCGCGTTCGTGGCCAATGAGTGGCATGACGGCACTTATCATCGCTAGCGAATGCCACGTTCCATGGTCTGCTTTAAAAGCTCACACGGTGGCTAAGCACGTCCCGACCACGTGGTTTCTCGTTTCGCTTTTGAGTAGAGCGTAAAAAATAAGGAGGAAGAAGTCGGAAAAAAACATTTCATTGGTTCTTTAATGGACTACTTCCACAAATTCGTCACCGCGCGCATTGCATTCAAGGAACCTGAAGGCCGGGAGAGGAATTCGTATGGAGTTTGCTTCCCACTGATCCCACGATGCATAACGTGGCATTACGCCGCGATGATGCGCTTCGAGTTTTGCAATAAGTATATTCGTGGTGCTACGATCAATACGGGAACGTTCATTGTAGTTCGGGGAAAATTCCATCGTTGTTTCCAGTATATATTAGTAGTATTCCAAAACCACTGGCTAAATTCGATTTGAATCAGTGTGTGCCAGTACTATTTTAACGCGATAGCGTGAAGGAGCTCGTGTCGCACAAAAGCCTGCCTGGGTGACGTGGCAGAAAAGCTGGCTTCGGCGGCGTGACCCAAAAATATTGGTTGACCGATGACTTGACAACCACATAACCTCGCGCAGAAATTTCCCACAACGTTCCCTTGAAATGGGGCGTCACGCGTATAATGCAAGTGATTAAAAAACATGACACGTAATGCGAATTAAAGGTCGCCGGATGCCTCGAACGACTTCACTTTAGAATTCCGAGGGTGAAAGCGCTACAACACAACGGACAAGTGGAAGAGACGAACAACGCAGAGCGCAATTTGCAACTGAAGGTTGCTCACATAAAAATATACATATAGACACCGTGAAAGCAGGACATGTGATGACAGAAATGCGACATCATCAAATCAAAGCTTATCTATCTGCTCTCTACTTTATGAAATGTTTAAACAACGCCACCTCAGAGCCTATCGTCTCTTTCAATTGTCCGTTGTTTTTTTAGCGCTCTTACACTCAAAACGATGAATCACCAACTAACCCAAGTGTGTACCCTTCTTCACTTTAGAAGTAATCTATTTGCCCTAAAGAAAAATTTGAAGAATTTTAGGCAGGATTCGAACCATCGGCTGGGAGCCAGACACGCTGCTGAGTGGGCCATCTCCTCCGCGCTTCTTGCTCACTGCTAGGAAGAGCAGGAGAACCGAAAGAGAAGGCGATGCGAACAGAGCCGGATAACGCTATCGCGTTCCACTCTTAAAGACGAAGCGTCCTCCAGGTTTTGGATTCTGACCCACGCAGCAGTAATTTTAAAAAGGGCGGTGAAACGATTTTTTAGCTTAGCATAAATACCACTCAGAATGAATTAATCACCTATAATAAATATTATAGGTAATTATTTCCATATTAGTTTTTTTTTTTTCGATTCCCGACGTTTGTTGTGGCTTGCGGTTTGTTACCAAAAAATTTCCTTTTTTTGTCAGCAACTCTGTTTGGTATGATTTCTTTTCGTTTTTAGTATTCGCTGAAGCATCCGGTATAGATAATAGACAGTTCTAGTGAACCGTACGCTATAGGTCTGCGTACGCAAGGAGATTGCGCGTCGTGAGTGCGCATGCGCAGAACGCAATAGAAGAGCTAGCGTATCGCGTACGCACGCAACGCTGGGGATTTTGCGTTGCTGGCTAGCGGGCCTTGCGGGACGCTCTCGAGAGATCTCGGACCCAACGAGAGCGCCAGTTTCAAGATGGCGGTTGCCTCGACTGGCGCAGCAAGGGCGACGTGGTGTTTTCGAAGTTCTGTGTTATGTGAAATTGCGCGGTGTTCAGCTCGGCGATTTTTTCTGGGACCTACCGCGGTCGAATCAGATCTCCCTGCAGCTGAAGGAGTGCACAGTGGAAATGTTCGCCGCTCGCAGTGTGCGTCGACGCTGCGATCTGCTCAGCGCTAAGCCTACTCCCACAGATCATCGCCGACGGACGAACTACTCTAAAAGAAATTGCCAAAGTTTTCGCTACGCACTGGACATCAGGGTCATTAATTTCATTCTGCGATAGCATTGATAAAAGTTGCCGTTTCCACGGGACACTGACGGAGGCTCCACGATCGAATTTGGCTCCGCACTCGTACTCGTATACCCTCTGTACCCCGCAGAAAAGCGCGCTTGACGAGGCAGCTGTGGCTTGGTTTAATCTGAAATAAAATGATTGGACGCTTTTTCTTTTTAAATATTTCTTCCCAGGAGCATGGTTGCGCTATTGGCACGCGGAATTCTGCGGCTCTAGAAAATTTAACCAAGATCATGCGCGGTGTTCACTCAAAAACGTAGCGCACAACTAAATTTGGTCCGAGCGGGTCATTTTTAGCGTTCGCTATACTATTGCGTATTGCGTACGTAAGAGCCAGCAACGCTATACTAAAACTGTCTAATAAAAGAAAATATTACATCGTAACTTCTTTGGGTTAAATCTCGCGGTTCGCAATTGCTTTAGTCTGGCCTCATTTAAGACCGATATATCTCAATATGCGCTCACAACCGGCTTTCTCAATGTTGTAAATGATTCTAACCAGCTCTATGATCCCGCTTTTTCTTCTGCGTGCAGATATCAGAATGCGGCTACGGGCGCATGCCAACGGGGCGCTCATCCTCAAGTTCCTCCTGGTGCTTGGGAGTGCCGCTGCTCAGGACGCTGCTCAGGACGGCGACAAGGACAGTGGAGGGGAAGAAGTCGAGAAGAGGCTGCGTGAGTACTCTTCGCTGCCACATGAGTGCATGCCTCCGCGCTTTCAACACTCGCGTGCCAGGTATTAAGAAATGCGATAATAATTTTGCGATATAGTAATGAGGTTGCTTAATTAAAATAAATTGATGCTGATACTCATAGGAAATCAACGCGAGGTCTACCTTGCTGTGTTTGCTGCCTTTACTACATGCTCTTGTATGGTTTCGCACTAACGCTGTGTTGCATGCCCGTCTCTTACAACGACATGAAAAATGCAACAAAGAAGCTTAATCAACACAGCTACGATAAAAAACAGCAATATAAAAAATTGTGCTAAGCAACAGTACTACGATGCAAGTAGAATATGCTGCCAGTATCGCCGCATTTTTCTGTCAGATCATTTCAAACAGCATTGATGCAAAAGTACTCGAAGTTCCTGTCTTTCAAATTTTTTTCGCTGAAGGTTTATTTTTGAACTGCCATTTGGGTAAATTTTCTTCCAATTGCATTAATAAAAATACAGGAATCGAATGTATTTATTATAAGCGCCATCACTCGTCGCCCCCGCGAACTATTTTGCTTCCCCGACTTCTCTTTGAGGCTTCTCCACAGTTTCTGTTCTCCCTGCAAAGCGTTCTCAGCGCTACGTTCCACGGTGTTGTTATTCTAGGTTCTGGTTGAGGCGTTCGTTGTTTCGGAATGAATGATATTAGCGAGTCTGCTTCAGAACATTGTGTTGGTTCAATATGATCGAAGCAACACGCTACATCTAGTCACAGGGTTACAAGCAATGTAACAAGTAGCCCCGTAGAAGAATCGTGCGCCGAAGTTATCCCGGTGTCCTGATCGCTGCTGGCCTTCTGGTTGCTGCGGACGCAACCGGTCAAATGTCTGAACCAGCCTTAACCAGTCGTTATTCGGTAGTGAGAAGCTTCATATATTGAGAGAATTGGACAGAGCCCGCAGTTCAAGCAGGCGGCACGGGCCCTGTCATTTAGCCACTCGAATAACCGCAGCAAAATGCTTCCAGTATTCCAAGATCCGTTGGAATACCTTTACATTGAAAAGTAAAACACACACAATCTGTATAGTTACTTTAGCTGGCTTTTTTTTTTTATTTTCCGCTGATTGCGCAGCGAGACAGAGCAGTGGTGCGGCATGAGTTTCCCATAGTAGCGGTCTGCCCATCACCTCAAACATGGGACACCATGTTTCAGACTACGGAACGAGGTTGGACACAAAGTCGGACAGATGACGCGCGTCTCAATAAGGTCTATCAGTGAAGAAGACTAAATAAAAAAAATCATATATATATATATATGTGATTCCTCAGTCAAATATAGTAATAATAGGTACCTCTAGCAAACCATTACCGTGTTCAGCGTTCCGCACTATCGGAGCCTTTGAAGCATGCTTCAAAGTGCGCGCCCGGGTGGTACGCGGAGCACGGCAATGGTTTGCTAAAGGTCTCTATTAACAGATTACCGTTTAGAAGAGGCGCGGCGCGTCAGAAGTCGAGGAGCACAAATATCAGAGGCCGGCGCCGATGCCCGTATTATGAAATGGCAGCTTCCACGTGTCCGCAGAATCGACGGGCAAAGTTAGTCTCGGGTGTGCAGTACTGATTGAGGCGCCCCTTTGCTTGAGCGTACATCCCATGTCAACATCGAGACGAAACTGTGAATTCGTTTTTGTCGTCTTTCTGCATCATCTACGCTATGACGCATGACGCGGGCAACTACCATAAATACATCGAGCTAATGCTCATGGGCGTGCAGGAAGTGTTTAGACTAATATATAAATCTTCCTCCTATGCTGTGCGCGCAAGTATCTCAATAGCTGAAGGAGTTGCACCCAGAATGAAATTTTCAGGCGTCATGTAATGACAAGCAAGAACGAGATGTTGGTGAATTCCAAATAATGATATTACTCAATATTCCAATTAGCTCGCAGTCCACCCTACAAGCCTCCCGTGTATAGCGTGCTGCACCAGGAGAGACGCGTGCTGATTGGCTGATTAGTTAAAGAGATGCTGAACCGAAATTTGTATTCCACAAAACACGGCGGCAAAAGCGTGCAACAGAATGCTTCAAACACCCAAACATAACTCATACAGCGATATCTCGAACGGATGACCTATTTCTCTAAAAAAAAAAGGAGCCGGATTTGACCCAGATATGTTTACCTCTTACTTCTCCGAGAAGGAGAGGGAACGTCCTCGCGTCTTCTCCGCCTCGCTGCCTTGAGGGGGTGAAGCGAAGAGAGGAGGAAACGAGATATCTTGACGTCGCACGCCTCGTCGGCCTCGTTCAATCTCAACCTCTTTTTCCAAAACTACGGCCCTCCATTCGAGATATCGCCTTACGAGTACTGTTGTAGGGACTGTAGCATCCCGTATACAGCTCCTGCATTGCTTTCTGAAGTCCTAAATTCGGTTCACCATCCATTTAATGTAACGCGATGAAAATTGCAATACATGTGGCGTCAATGTCATTCCTATAAAATGCTATAGCGTGCCGATCCGCCAGCGTCACTCCTGGCGCATCGCCGTGCACGAGCGTTGTTTGTAGTTAAAGGGGTATTCACACGAGGGAGAAATCCCGGGGATTTCTCCCCGGCTCGCGCCCATCACGAGATGAAAACGCGAGGCTTTTGCACATCGCAAAGCCTGACGTTTTCGTCTTGGGATGCGCGTGCCGGAGAGAAATCCCCGGGATTTCTCCCTCGTGTGAATACCCCTTAAAGGGGTGGTGCCAAGATATTCAATTGGAAGGTTTTTCACTTTATACGAGTTTATCGCCACTAGTGGGACTCAAGGATACTCGCACGCAACGCCACTGGCCAAGAAACTCCTTTGTTCTGGTATAATTTCCAGAATAAAAAATTACGAGGACACCGGAGCACTTCCTATGAGTTGTGAATGCAAAAGAATGAACGTCGTTCTTCCGCTCCCTTAGTTCGGCTGCGGTGAACTCGCGTGGAGGGCCACGTTTCGCTACTGCCGAAGTTGCGGCCGCCGACGATGTAGATGCCTCCGGCGACGCCATGTTCCTCGGAGCCGAGTAAGGCAGGGCCGACTTGCTAGAATCAGCGTCTCAGATTAAACTAGAGGAAAGAAAGCACTGCCAAAGCCGGCGCACGAGCTGAGCGGGACTCTTCCCGCGTCTCAAGACGCTCGCACGGCCCAGTCTTTGCTATACCATAGCCTCTTCTATACTGACAAAGCCTGGCAGATCGCCACGAGAAGCGGCAGCATAGATGGAAAAGGTGGAGCGGCAAACAACGGATCAGGGGAGAGTTACGTGACTAGCGCCCCACCGCAGCGAGACACCGAAACACACTTTTCCCGAACGAACAATTGTGTGTCGGGTTTTCACCGCTGCAAAAGCTGTGCGCTGACGTCTAGATTCCTTGAGAAATGGCTCTTCAATGCTCTGTGCTACCAGATCCTCGCGCTCCAAATCTGCGACCGGGCACTCTATGGCTCCGTCGTCGAACTGCCAGGCTTCGTGAGTATAGAGGAGGCTACAGAAGTGGCTTTCTTTCACCAAGTTTCAGCTGAGACGCTGTTCTAGCAAGCAGTGTTTTACACGTTCCCCAAAAAGAAGAACGGAAGCTCGTTCTACGTTCCTTCATACTTTTGGAACTCGTTTCCGTTACAGTTTAAAGAATGGAACGTACTGATACATATACGTTACATTTGTAGCTTGCTAGTTACCATATTTAGTTAGGTTAAAGTTTCTTTTTTTTTTATCCATCCCATTCAATGGCAACATCCGAATTTGAATGCCGCGATGGAAGGACTCCAGAAGAAGAAAACAAGCCGAGCAAGGTTTCATTTGTTGATAAATTCATTTTTAAAAATCTCAGCGTATTTCCATATTCATGTTGGGAGTAGGCGATGCAGACGAGCCAAATGTACTGCTACCCTACATTGCCCCAAGCGTTTTCAATCTAACAAAGTCCCTTGGCTGAACCTAACAACAGTTGCTTCTCGATGCTGCTGTCCGCATGATGAGCAGGTGAAGGAGAGGGGAGGGCTTCTGGAAGGTCAGTCTTGAAAAATACTAGTCCTTCTTTGTGAAGGTTAGATTTTTTGTTCAGTTTAAAGGTGGAAGGAGAGGAGAGGGAATGAAGGTTAATTATTGTGCATCTGTCCATTGTTTGGGATCGTTCGATGTCTGGGAACCTGTTCTTTTGGTGCAATTGTAGGTCTCTTTAAATACGTTCAGTGATGCTGTAGTCGGCCTTAGGTTTCTGGGTGTATTAGGATTCGGTGAAGGCAAAGAAAGTAGCTTAGTTTGAAACGTCCTTTTTTCTGTCTTTTCTTTCGACTAAATATTTTATTTTTGTACCGCAATCCCGGGCACTGAAAAGAGGATCAATGCCCACTAGCTCTCCTGTATCCGACTGTTACCACGCGAGGACCCCACAAAATTATCCCTAAGTAACAGAAAAATCATCGAGATGCTGCACTTCGTAAATATATTGTTCTTAGACTTCTAAAAATTCCTCCGTAATAAAATGAAGATTACGCGACTGGAGGAAGAAAAAGAAACGCCATTCCTTCTTCCCTTCCCATAAAATTGTGACAAGTTCCAGTTCCAGCTTCACCGATGAGAATTGGAACGAAGTCGTTCCTTCGTTCCTCCTAAAACAAACGCGTTCCAGAAACTCCGTTACGTACAGCCATAGCCTCCTCTATATTCACAAAGCTTGGCAGTTCGACGACGGAGCCACAGAGTAGCCGGTCGCCGACTTGGAGCACGAGGATCTGGTAGCAGAGAGAATTTCTCGGGGGACTTGGTATTCAGCGCACAGCTTTTGCAGCGGCGAGGTCCCGAAACATGGTTTTCAAACCCGACGAGAGAAGAAGCGGTAGCGCGAGGAACGCGAGGGGCACGAGCAAACATTCCATCGCTCGGGAGAAGTGTGTTTGGGCGTCTCGCCGCAGCGCCCCGCTGCGGCGAGACGCCGAAACACACACTCGTTACATGACTCTCACCTCATCCGCTGTCGGG